GACGGCACCCCCCAGTGGGTCGTGCCCCGCCCCTTAAAGGGCCCTCAGCGGCCGGAGGCTTGGTCCGGGGCTGCGGGCGGCGACGGCCGGCCGCGAGCCCGAGCTACAGGCCTACGGACTCCCTAGCGCAGGTTCCCTGCCGCCCAGGGCCGTCCCGGCGCTTCACAACACTCGTCACTCTTCAAGACGTCAGTCTTTCGCGCTGCGGCGAAATGGCGCTACCGTCCCCTAGTTCACCGCTTTCTCGCGCTCCCAAATCTGAAAAACTGATCTTTTGTAGGAGGAGCGGGCAAAAAGGAAATTACAGCCTCTGCGCCGCCCGGGAATCGAACCCGGGTCGCAAGAATGGGAATCTTGCATGATACCACTACACCAGCGGCGCCGCTAGCTAACCTCTCGCCAATGAGTCTTAGGTGATTATGACGCACCCCCTGTCTGTGCGAGAAGCACGGCGCATGCGCCAGACTGGAACCTGCCGGCGGAAGGATGGGGAGGTGTGGCGCGATTCGAGCACGACCTCCACTCCGGCCTGCGTCATCGAAACGACGTCGACCTTGGGTTTTCGGGAGACGGTGGGGCAGGGATGCTGGAGCGGGACCTTGCCGTGGGCGGGACTCCACGCCGGCCCCTCCCGTGGGCGGACCCTTGCCGTGGGCGGGCCTCCAGGCTGGCCCTTCCCGTGGGCGGGGCCGGAGGGCAGGGGCCCTGGGCCTGCTCACCCCGGGCCGGGCGATCCAGCTCATGGCGTCGGTGGGTCTGAGAGCCGGGCACCCAGTGACTCTTGAGCTTCTCCGTGACTCTGAGATGACCACGGGTGCTGTGAGGGCTCAGTAGCCCGGAAATGGAATTGGAGTCCACCATTGGGAGCGCCCAAGAGTACCCTCTGGGCTGTCAGCTTGTGGTCCCTGTTCCGGAAATTTGTGTGGGTCAAGCTCCAGGAACCAGGACTAGCATAGTCCCTCGCTGGGCTTGGAGGAAAGGTAGCCAGGGTTGGTCTGGGGGTGCCATGCGCTGAGACCAGGGCAGACAGTCACGTGGCTCAGGAACTGGATGGTGACTCTGCTGGCTAGTCTGAAAGTCCTCAGGGATGGCAGCCTTTAGGAGTCGGCCTCCACTCCGGGCACCCCTGCGTGCTGTTTTGAGGCCCCTGGGCCCTGCAGCCATCATCCCACTTCACAGCCCTGAGCTTCCTTACTGGAGGTGCCTGGTGAGCTGGGCTGTCCCTACATCCCCTACATCAGGTGTTGTGGCATCCCCAAGGGGCATGCCAGGAGGAGGAGCTGAGACCAGGGGCCCTCTGTACCCCAGGACTTCAACTGGGTCCCTGGCACCGGTGGGAGGAGTCCAAGGTCCATCTTCCTACCTGGTCCATCACTGAGTGGGCCTTGGCACTCAAGGGCTCAGAACCCAGGAAGGAAGTGGCCTGCCATGGCTGAGGGGGTCCTTTGCTGCGGTGACCAGATCTGTCGGATGGTGGCAGGGAGGCTGAGCCAGCCCCTACAGATTCTGCTGCACTCCATGGGGAGCCAGGGTTGCATCACTTGTGGTCACCGCTGGGGATGGAAGCCCAGGAGCCCCCTCTTGAGGGATTTATCTCGCAGCAGGTGATGGTTACTGTGACACTGGCCCATTCCCACTGGGTGTTTACCCGGGTCCCAGAGCGCCACATGGAGGGACATGGGGTAGGACCCCCTGCCATCAGAGCGGCACTCCAGGCTTGGCCTTGGCCCTTGTTCCCACCCCCAGGAAGAGTGGGCACCCTCTCTGCACCTACCTCCATGAGGTCACCTGCCCAGTACCCCAGAGCACATGGGGCAATGCCACTGTCATCCTCACCCACAGAGGACCTGAAAGGTAAGCCCCTGCCCCTCCTCACTCTCCCAGAGGGCTGGCCGTGATGACCACAGTCTGCAGCAGGGTCCAGCTGCTGGCCAGTGCGGGCCAGCGCTTACTATGCACTCGCAGGACCCAGTGTCCCGCCTGCCCCAGCCTGCTGCAGAGCCTCACTGCGTGCCCTCACCCATGTCCCCTGTCTGTGGCACTTCTGTGCCCTGTGCTCCTGGAACAAATCTCCCAATTTACTGTTCCCTGCTTCTGGAGACCAGAAGTCCACAATTGGGCTAGCAGCCCCTCAAGGCCCCCAGGAGCGTCTTTCCTGGGGCTCCCTGCCTGGTCTTCACCCCCACCCCCACCCCCACCCCAGGCGTCCAGTCTTGGTCCCCTCTCTGTTACAGATCACGCGTCAGAGACTCGGGGCCCGCTGTGATTCAGGAGACTTCTCAGAACCCTTGCTGGGAGGACACAGCTTTCGGGGCCCACTGTAACTGGGTGTGGGGACAAGCGGGGCAGTCCAGCTCCCCTCCAGGCAGTGCCTCTTCCTGGAGGGGTACTGGCCACCCCTTCCCTCGCCGCAGAATTGGACACGGTGCGGGTTTTGGACAGGCACAGCAATGGACTTAACTGCTTTCCCTTTTACGTTGAGCTGTAAGATCGTAGTAGGGCGTTCAGGAGACTGGCCTGCCCAGGAGTCTCCCGCAATAGAGAGGCCCCCCGCACACGCTCCGCGAGTACAGACTCCTCCACGCAGAGACTCCCCGCAGGACCTTCCCCAGCCTTTGCCAGCGCGAGCACCCGCGAGGCACTAAACGTGCGCGGACGTCACAGCTGACCCCGAGGGCCCTCGAGCTGGCTGGCGGGCTCTGGGTGCCCCGGGGCTCACCTGGCGTCTGGGCGGAGCACGCTGGCCAGGGCTCCAGGGCATCTCATCCACCCGGGCCTTGAGCCTCGTGGGACTGGGCAGGACCGCCGGCTCCGCCCTCGCCAGTTTCCCAAGCCCCGGGGGCTGCCCCCGCCGCGCGCCGCAGGGCCCACCCGCTCCCATGCGGGCCCTTTAAGGGCCGGGGGCGTGTAACGGGCCCGCCCCTTCCCCGCTGCGCCGGGCCACAGTTAAGTGCGAGCCGGGGCGGAGGGCGCGGATCCGGCCGCGGAGCGGGGTGCGTCCACGCGGAGCCGGCGCACCATGTACACCATCACCAAGGGGCCCAGCAAGCTGGTGGCGCAGCGCCGCAGCGGTGCGGACCGGGCGGGCGGGACGGGGCCCGGGACACTGGGGCCGCCCGGGGTGCGCGCGCGCGGCGCGCGCTGACGCCCCAAACCCAGCACTAT